TCCTCTCCTCTCCTCTCCTCTCCTCTCCTCTCCTCTCCTCTCCTCTCCCTTTCTTCTGCAGAAAGACTATTTTTAGCTCTGACAATTCACTGACAACAAAGAATACTGTTATTTTTGCATTTGTAGTTTCTGTGTGATCCCTGTGGAGTTGTTTTATTTCTTGGGTGCACAGTGGATTACTTTGCTTTTGTTTACATTTACTTTGCCTTGTCTTCAAGGCCATGGTCTTCAGCACTTTTGCATAACACAGCCCTGCAGCTTTTCTCTTTTTAAGTTCTCCTGACTGCAAGGAACATTTCAGTTCTTAGTGGCTGTGTTTCAGTCCGGAAATGACCGTAGTGATTGAGGTTCCTCATAGCCCCAGCACATCAATTTTGTGTGAGGAAATGCTTCATCGTCCCTGAGTGTCTGCACTGGAAACATGCAAGCCCCCTGTGAACATGAAGACACAAGCTTGCTGCTCCAGCCGCTGTTTGAGGGAGAGGATTATGGAGCTGCTGCAGCAGATGGGACACCATGTCCATCAGTGTCCGTGGCAAGGAACAACCCAGCAAAGAGGGATTGCCTGGTAGTTGCCGTGCTGTGCTTTGGGAATTTAGTAAATTTCATTGATTGGTTCATTGTGCCAGGTGAGAACCCATTTTCCTCTTCTAAAGAAAAAGAAATTTAAGTTCTTAACAGCTCTACGAATGTTTCTAAAGTAAGGATATGTTTTATGTCTTTTTGCTTTTTCTCATTTATCTACTTTACCCTGTTGATCATAGTCTTAATGAAACTTCCAATTATAAATCTGGAAATACCTAGGAGGGATTTATTAGATATTAATAGTTATTCTATTAATAGAATGCTTGTAAAAATAAGATCATAGTTTAAAATCTAGGTCTCTTATAAACAGAATTTAGCATACAGGGCAACTGGTCTATTTTTGTGGTTGAATTCTACAGAGGTGTGACTAAGGAGCTTCTCTTTTCTATGCACAGCAATTTACAAGGCCTTCTTTGCATCTAGTAGATTCTATATATTATTCCTTTATCTGAAGAATACTGATGCTATTCCCTCCATTACAAGTTCAAAAACTATGTGATCTTTGTGATAACTTTTTTATCCATGTTAGTTTGCTTAGGGGAGGCTTAACTTCCTTGTGGGCTGCTGGCAGTCGTGTGATTTCTGCAATTGAGAGTTGAACATGATTGTGGAAAAAGAATAGATACCCACTTCCTTAAGCCTTCCCTCACCCAAGTTATGAGTTCTTGTCTAATAAACAATATCCCTCCTCCAAAATATTTTTGAATTCTTTTTTTTCCCTAGCTGAAAACAATCAAGAGTTGCTTATAGTAAACTGGAGGGAAACTATGGGGGTTTTCTCCCATAGAAATTGTGGTCTGTGTAAATTCTTCTATTTAGTACTACTCCTAAGCATCTCCCATGCTTCCAGGGATCTGATTTAGAAAATAGGGGAAACACTTGTTGTTAGCTTGCTATATTTTACTTCTGAGTGGCCTGGGAAACAGAAATGTTTAAAACCTTGAAAAAACCCAAAGGATGGATTATTGAATTTGGAATTTATACCTAGTTACAGTGCACAAAATAATTATTTTGCCACTTCAACCATTCAAAAATTTGGAACATTCAGTCAGTATCTTTAAAATGGGAGAGTGTGGTGGGTTAAAGAGTTTGAGCTTGGTTTTTTGAGTACTTTTTAACAACACAGGAGGGAAGGAAGCAAAATAGGAGTGCAGTAGGAGTGCATGCAAGGCTGTGAGTGAAAACCTGTGTAAGTGTTCTGTTGTCAAGTAACTTTCCTTGGAGAAGGACAGAGGACAGAAGAGGATGAAAATATCTTCAAGAAAGAACTTGGATCCTAGAAGGGTATCCCCTTGGAGGGTTAAGATCAAGAAGCCATTTGGTTCATTCCAGGATTTGAACTATTCGGGGGCATCTGAAGCAGCTAAGAGCTTAAAATTCTCCCAATTTGCTCTTGTGAGTGAGGTACCTTCAGGGACATGCAAGAATTCAAGAGCAGAAGTGGGGATAGTGCCCATGCCTTTGAAACACCTCCTTTAATTACACTATATGACTAAACCACTTTTTACTTGGTTCTATGACTCCTGGGCAATGGGGAAGTCTGTAAGCTGCAGTTTATACCACAGCAATATACTGACTGTTCACCTGCTAGAATTCAGTGCCACTGCAGAATTCCTGCAACAGCGCATTTGAGTTTGGCTGTCCAAGTGTATGACCACGCTGTTAGCTACCAGCTGACAGGAAAGGGAGGAAGGGGAGGTGTGAGTATCTGCTTAGAAGTAAACTGGCAGCAGTTAAAAAGTTGTGGTTTCCGGATAGTTTTGCTCTCAGGTTTTGACAGCATTTGCATCACAGAAAACAAGCTCTTCCCCTTAATTGTCTGCTGACTCAAGTTTGTTGAAACTAGTGACCATACAGACCTTTCCCCTCTTTTCTGTCCACCAAACTGTTCAAATCAATGCTTTTTAATTTGCCAGGAACTGGCAGGGTCAGTTATTGTAGTTATGTGGAGGGGATGACATTTTAATGGTGCTCAGTGTGAATGTTAGTTTGAGATGAAGTTGTGGTTCTGTTCAAGTCTTGTTAGCTGTGATTTGTTCTAAATACTCCACGAGACCAAACCTGAATTCCTCTAATACAGCATTTCTGTGCATTGATCACTGGCTGCCAGAAAGGAAGGATATACTTGATTGTCCTGTTTCAATGATGCAAAATATTTGAATTATATCTCTTGTTTAAACTTTTGAAACCATTAGGAAACCCCCAAATGTAAAATATCTTCAAGAGTCACTGAAAAACAGCTGTAAACCACTGGAGCTGTTGTTTGGCTGAATTTTGATCTACAGTGACTTGAAGTGATATCAGTAAATAGTGAGTGGACTGATGCTGCAGCCATGGGGACTGTGGGAGAACATGGATTTAGCTTTAAATTAGCTGGTCCCACACTGCTTTTGAGTGGCTGGAGCAGTGAAGTTCATGGCACATGTAAAACCCAGTGTGGGAGAAGGGGTGCCTCTTGCTGACCTCACCCACTCCCTTCTGCTACAGATGAGCTCCTGTGAGCACAGCAGGCAAATTACACAGAACTTGTTCTCTTTAAGTGGTGGTGGTTTCATCCTCTTAACAATGTTATGGCTATCTATTTTGACACAATTGAAGTGGCATGAGAAGTGAATGTCTTTTTTAATTTATATCTTTCAAAACTGGAGTACAGGTATGCTTTTTCAAAGCACTATCTTCTCTTTTCAGTAGGTTTTCAGTGGTGTAAATTGGAAATACAAGATAGGTGAGATGGAAGTTCTGCAGCTCTGGCATGGTATAGAGAAGAAAATGACCTTTTTGTCTGAACATCCACTGTTTTGTTCTATTTGTGTCTATTAAACTTTGATCTCTAAATTTTTCATGTTCTTAGGTGCAAAAGAAGCAGAACAGGAGTGGTTGAAACAGTGGGTAAACTGACTCTCCTATGACCCTTATAGTGGAAGATCATTAATTTTATCTATAGTGATAAGAATTTTTAATTCTCTGTGCATCTTGTGCTTGTGGTAGAGTAATGGCTTACATCTAAACGAAAATCTAAATGTGCTGCAGTTCTTGCAAGCCCTGTTTTTGGGTTGGCAGTTACAAGGATTGAGTAGGGTGCTTTGATATCATTCAATGTCTGCCTCTGTTGCAGGGATCCTGTTGGATATACAAAAATACTTTGGGCTCAGTGATGGGAAGACAGGTCTACTGCAGACAGGTAATAAAATCTCCTCAGTTCAGAGAGCTGACTTTTTCTTGCCCCTCTATGGTCTGCTCCTAAAATAGAGTCCAGTTGCTTAGCTCTTCTAGTTCCTCCTTGTATGTGGTATTGCTCACTTCCACTTGTGGGCAGGCTGACTATAATGCAAAACTGAAAGTCCTTCAAAAATCCCACAGTATGTGAATCACAAAAGATGAAGGGTTTCTCAAGAAATACAGAAGTTGAGTTATTCACATACATTCACATTGTTTAATTCAATTCACATCAATTCAATTCACATACATTTTATTGTTGTATAGGTATTTTGAGTATGCATTTGTCTTTTTCCAAATATCAATCCTCCTCCTAGTCCTAGAAACTTAGCCTGCCTTAAAACCCTCCCCTAAAAATGACCTGAGTTTATCTGAGGGCTGAGCAGTACATATGACAAAAATAATTAGATAAATATTGTCTTTGTTCATTGTTGGATTTTCAGTCTTCACCTTGTGTTACATGCTGGCTGCCCCCATCTTTGGCTACCTCGGAGATCGCTACAACAGGAAGATCATCCTTGGAGCTGGTATTTTCTTCTGGTCTGGTGTGACCTTGGGGAGCTCCTTCATCACTGAGTCGGTATGTTGCTTTTTTAGAGGGTGCTATGAAAATAGCCTGCATCCATCTTGCAGGACTTGATAGAGTCCTTTTCTAGCCACATTTGGAAAAGCATCAGTGACCACTCATTTCCCAAGCCTTAAGCCAGGACTAAACATCCTCCATGCAGGAATGCCTTATAGGACTCTGAAGTCCAGCCTAGGCAATAGAGAACCCACACATTATTGATGGGATTTTATTTTTGTCCAGAATGTTTTTTGTTTATGACCTTACAGTGTCCCACCTTTTTGGATACATGTGCTCTATCCACCCTGTCCTGAAATTCCCTCTGGGTGTCACTCTGAGAAGTCACTGCTGTGCAGCAAGAGAAAGCCAAGCACTGAGATGTGAGTGGAGCAGGTGTGGGAATACAGACACAGGCAAAAGGCAGTTGAATTCTGATTTACTCTGGTAGATTTCATCCACTAAAATGCCCCTCTTTAACAGTAAGCTTTCTTTCTTGCATGGCCTTTTTTTGACTATAACATGTCTTTTCCCTGCAGCATTACAGGATATTTGTTCTTTCACGAGGATTGGTTGGCATTGGCTCTGCCAGTTACTCCACTATAGCACCTACCATCATTGCAGACCTGTTTGAGGAAGGAAGAAGGACCACAGCATTATCTATCTTCTACATTTTCATTCCAGTGGGAAGGTTGGTTTTCTTGCAGTGGCCTTTGGAAATTCTGTCTGACCACATCTGCAATTCAATATCCCTTGAGCCCTAATCAGATTTATTTTGATGTATTTCTTCATTGGCTCTTACAAAGGGATTTGTCACTTCCTTGACAAGTTTGAATAGAGCTGATTAGGTGTTTTTCTCTACTTACCTTGGGAAAAATTCACTTTTTGCCCCAAACATTTTTAGGGAGAGTCTAGACTCTGGAAAATCTGGCTTTGAATAAAATATTGAATCAATTATAAAATAAATATGAGAATGCATGAAAGTGCATGAGAATATGTAATTTATTTCTGTGTTTTAGAAGACAAAAGCTTTCAGATATTAGTTTATTAGACAGATTTTCCAAGAACCCTCCATTAAATGTCTCCCAAGGAAGAACTAGTACTTCCCTCTCCTCTTTTAGTTAAATTGACATTGTGTCTGAAGAAAAGGTGGAGAAGGGCTTGTCAAATAATTTAGAGGCATACTCTGTATCAGAGCAGGCATCCAAGGCTGGGCCCAGAAGGCAGATTAGAACTCAAGAAATTCCTCCAGGGCATAATTCCTTTGGCTAGCACAGAAGAGAGTAGGTAATCAAATGTTTTATGGGCTCTTTGATCTGGGTTTGCAGTGTCATCCTACAGAATATGTTTTCCAAGGGGAATCTGGGACATCACTGTCATCATCTCAAGTCTGCTCTGGGGAGGTTAGTTTCTCTTTTTAATACTGGCTGGCAAGCAGACTAGCACAAGCCACGAGGGTTATTTCTGTTTATCCCTTTGGAAAACTATGACAGAACACTTCTGTGTGTTCTCCTTAGCTGGCAAGACATGTCATTTCAGCCATCCAAAATTCATTGGTGCTTACTGACCATTCCTTTCTGTTGTTTGCAGTGGCTGTGGTTATATGCTGGCAGCTAGCATGGCAAAAAGCACAGGTGACTGGCACTGGGCATTCAGGGTGAGTCACTCACTTTCATTCACCGTAACATCAAAATCATCACTAGAGTTTGGATTCTTTATGTTCATTGTGTTAAAGTGAGCAGTGGGAGGAATTCCTACCCTCTGACAGGTCAGGAACGTGGTGTTTAAGAGAAGTTTTCCTGCAGGTCAAGTAGCAGATTTCTGCCTAGCTCTGATAGGTGTGGGTGAAATTGTACAGCAGCCAGGGCAGCTGCTGATGTTCCTCTTACCTGAAGGCACATTTGGAATGGTTGTTACTGCACCAAGACCTCCTCAAACAGAGGAATTTGAAGGTAAAATGCTCATTATACTGGTAGCACCAGTTTTCTGGGATGCTGTTGGGAACAACTTCTTTATATACAAAATAAGCAGGTGAGTGGGGCAGAATATTTACTGGAGTAACACTGATGTTATTCAGGTAGCATTGGTGACTGCATTCTTGTGTTTGTGGCTAGAATACTACAGTATTCTTTCTTCACTTTTTTTTCTTAATCAGAGGGAGGAGCAATCAGGTATCTGTATGGTGGGGAGGGAGGATCTATTATCTTTTTTCAAAGTCACCAAAGTCACTCTTTTTCTTTACAAATATGGCCTAAACCATCACACATCTATTTCTGAACATATCTGCAATTTTCTGATAGTGGTTCTAATGCAATTGGAATTGCTGTGAAGTTCTCACTATAAGAAAACAGATATCTTTGATCTAACCAACCTTGTGTCTACAGGTAACTCCTTGCATGGGAGGACTGGCACTGCTTCTCCTGATTCTACTGGTCCCTCACAAGATCCAGAGAAAGACAGCAGCACACAGAGCACTGAGCATCTCTGGCATGATAGGAAGAGCAGATGAGAAGCCAGATATACACAGAACTACAAAGACTACTTGGTGTCAAGATGTGGGATCACTTGTCAAGAAGTAAGTGGTTCAAGCTACAGAGTCTCCCTCTGTTGAGGAGTCACCATTCCATTATAAGAAATATGTCCATTGAGTCCCACTTTGCTCCTTTGAGTCACGTGCTGTATGCAAGAGGATGGAAACACCATTAGTAAAAATCTTTCTTCCACTTTTTTACAGAAATGCTGCAAAAGAGATAAAAAATTTCTTTGCGTATTCTGTCCTCTCATTTTGAGGGGGGGTAAGGGGGCAAAGTTATGATGGCAGTTTGCTCCTGTTTGAATCCAAAGCTCTACTTTATACTAATTTTTCCCTTCCTTACAGAAGCTAGATTGGTAAAAGTGCATAATTTTCTGGTGTAAATTTATAAATCTTAACACCTGAGGAAGGTTGAATTAGCATGTCTCAGGTATTTGGGAGAATGCTGTGCATGAGGTCAAAGTTTGTGGGACCCCAATATGGTTTATAAAGTATTATCCATGTGTTTTGATGGGCTGAGCTGTGGCTGGCAGATGACATCTTCCTTTTAACCACACAAAACTTAAAGATGCAGCTGACGTGCAGGGCGGAGCAAGATCGGGACTGGAGCAGGCTGCCCGCAGGCAGGGGTGCCGTGCCGGGCCGTGCCGGGCCGTGCCGGACGAGGCTCTGGAGCGGCTTTGGGGACAGCAGGTGCCGCTGTGCAGCTGCGCCAGACCCGGCTCCGCGCTGCCGCCGCTGCCCGCACGCTGCTTGCCCGACACAGCGCCTGTCCTTTAGAGGCTTGCTTTCCTGCCACATCGTTTGTCTTTGGAGTGCTCTTCTAGACGATCCCGTTTTCTAACTGCCCGCTAAATCTGCATCCTCTTTACATCCTGAGCAGCGGGTACAGAAGAGATCAGTTTTCTAGGATCACAACTTGTAGGCACTACATCCTGAAGTGAATAAAAAAAATAAATCTTCCTGAATAAGAAATGAATTTTTCTGACATTTCAACAACTAGACTGTCTCCAAAGTTGCTTTCCTACAGAGATGTTCCAGTGCAAAAAACCCCATATTTTAATTTTCTTTTCCTTTAGCATTTGAGTCCCATTTTCTTTTACTTGGGCAATTGATTTCCAAAGCATAAAGACATACCAACAAAAAACTATGTGGTTCCACTTTTAATGAAGTCCAAGAGCACTTTATCTTTAGAAAATGGAGAATTAGGTTCAGAACAAATCCTCTAGTTTGGTGGTCACCTGATCATTTGCAGCAGTCTTTAGAATTCATACATCCCTATTGACCTCAAAGGGGGCTTTCTCCTGAACTATTAATGACAAAGAGTCGGGCAAAACATTAATTTTCTCCTAGAATAGGGCAGGAAGGAGACAAGGTTTGGACAGTTTTCAAAAATGCTTCTCCTTTTGTCTGAAACTTGCTGTGGAGATTGAGTCTGTTTTACTCACTCAGGTAGAGTTAAGGAGTGCTTCAGCCCAGCCCAGACCCAGCCATTGCTCTCATATTGGTTACAGAAACAGCTTAAAACCTGAGGCATTTAGACTTGAACATAGAAACCTTTCCTTTAGGTACTAAGCCATTAAATTCTTGCTCACTCTCTATTGTTATACTTCTGCTATCAAAAAATTTACAGCAATTGTTTTGGCAGAAGTTGGCATGAAATCTGCGAGACCTGGATTTAACATTAAATCAGTAGGTCATACCCTTTGCTCTAATTAGTACGTTATTGTTGAATTTCATAATAAAGTCTGATCAGAGTTCAGATATTCAAGGGAGTGGATTTTGATTACAAGATGTCTGTATTGTTTTGTTATTGCTTGAAATTCTGGGTGTTGCAGGTAGGTTTTCCCTTTTTCCTCACACACCATTCTTTCTAATATCTCTTAGTTGTTTTGTTTTGTTTTGTTTTTACTTTCAGCTGTAGTTTTGTCTGTTCCTCACTGGGTCTGACTGCCATGGCCTTTGTCACTGGAGCCCTGGGAATGTGGATGCCACTGTTTCTGTACAGAGCTCAGGTTGTCCAGGGCCTTGTCCCACCATGCCTCCAAGACTCGTGCAATTCCTCTAACAGGTGAGCTGTGCCCCTGGGAGCGACCTGGAAACACTGCACGGTGCTCAATCCCAGATGGATTCCAAAGGGGAGGGGAGGATGTGACCCACTTCTTGTGAATGGGGTGTGAATGTTAAATTGCCTCCCTAGTGTCTGGGACACTCCCCTTTGTTTGTTTATAATCACTCAGTTAACTGGAAAGACGCTGCCAGCCCTATTTAAGTAAAGTGGGAAGAAGCAGTAATAGTAACAGTTGTAGGGGAAAAGGAGCAGCTTTAGCAAGGAGTTTTTAATTAACAGATGACTGTGCACCCCAAGTTACTTAAATATCCATTTAAGTATATTTAAATCCTGTGTTTTAGTAATTTGCCTATTATCTTCTTCTTATTCTGTTTTTATATTCTGTGCCATGTTGGTGAGTTCACTGTGGCTCCCAGTTTGAAGAAAGCATGATGATTTTGATGTAGTATCATATCATCACAGGATATTGTGAATAGCTGCCGGCAGAGCTCTGCTTACAGAGCATGTTCAGGCCAATGAAGATTCATTAACAATATCAAATATTGTACAAGAAGGGGAATTTACACTAGTAGAACACTTTGAAGTAGTCATAACACACATTTTTGAGGATCCTTTTTCCTCACCAAGGAAGCAAAGTTTTTTTTCACAGTGTGTTGTCCAGAGCACAAATATGTATTCAGTGTTCCTCTTGAGTCTTCACAGCTTCCCTCAGTAACAGTGGGCACTGGGACTGACTCCTGCTAGGGGCCTCCATACAGCTATCCCTTTCTCCCAGAGTTATCCAAAGTCTTGTTTCAGTCTCTGCTTTTGTAGTGGATTTCAGAGAACTAAGTGCTTACTGCATGGCCTTTCCAGGTAATGACAATTAAAAGGAAAAGCAATAATCACACCTTGAATGTATCCTCTGCTAATGGGATTTTTCTGGTTTTTTGCAATGGAATAACTGAGTCAACTCAGAAGTGATTTCTGAACTGTAGCAAAGCCAGATGGATTGAAGAGTCATCCCAAAATCCTTCAATGGGAAATGAATTGTGCTTCCATTGATGCTACCAGTGGCACATTACTTATCAATGAACAGTACTGGGAAGGGAGTGACACACAGGAGTCTGGCTCAGGGTAGGCAGATGAGGGAAGCTGAACAGTTTAAGATGTTTGGCTGTATCTGTTCACAGATGCAGTTTAAGTACTTCCTTTGTTAAGTTGAAAGTGTTGGCCTCTAGTTTGTTTTCTAATCCACTTCTGAATTATTATTCCACAGTAGTGTTGTTAGAGCAGACATGGTCTTCAGGGAAGTGAAACAGAGCATCTGATAGTTTAACCTTATGTACTGCTTCTTATAGGATGCATTAAATATAACCTTGGCATAAGCTCATGCCAGAAGCAGCATAAGGCTGGTTTTGGACTGTTATTCCAAGGGGATGTAAAGAAACAGAATATAAACTACTATGTCAGACCTGGTGGTGCTGGAGGAACTGAGCTGCACATTACCAGACCTGCCCAGGGATACTTTAAAGATGTTTTCCCCTCTGGCTGTTCAGCAGTTTCAGACTTTGTTTAAGGATCAGGACTGTGTCACTTAGACTCCTTGAAAACACAGACTCAAATGGCACCACAGCTGATTCAAGTCTCAATCCTTTCGAGGTAGATAAATGACCAGTGTGAAGTTTTTGTTCAGGTCTTTGTGCAAACACTTTCTAAACAGATCAGAGAAATAAGTGAGCATTCTCAGACTCTAAAGGATCCCATAGGAGCCTTTCCCCAATACTAGGCCTCTGTACTTTCCTACTCCCTGTCAACTGAACTCTGCTTGGATTTAGTTTAGCCATTCTCTTTTATTTCAGCTGCAGCTTTATTTCAGCTACAGTTTACAATATATGAATATTCTAAACACAATTCCATGAATGTTTCAATCAACTAATGTCACCTTGAATCTTGCCTCTCTTGAACAGATGTCTGAGATTATTCTGTCAAGTAACAATCTATAATGTCACTATCAAGCTATAGTCTGTGATGGATCAGAATCCTGAAGAACTTGTAGGGAGAGTACAAATTTTCTTAAAGTTTGTTATCTTACATAACAATACCTTTTTTTTTTTTCCTTGTAGAATTACTGAGTTCTTCCTAATCAGCCAGAAAGAAATTAAGAAGTAGATGGCCTGTAGTTCAAAGGAACAGATCATATCCCAGCTGGTTACTTTGCTTTGCAGTTAGAAAAAGCTCAGGAAAATATACAGAACTTACCATGTAACACTCTAAAATATTCAGAAGCACTTCTGCTCAGTATACATTGATCCTGTCCCTTCTTGCTTTCAGAGAATTACGATACAGTTGCTGATCTTGTGCAAGAGACTTGCTTTGTTATTGGGGAGGGGTCTCACTGGGACAGAGACAAAAGCACACATGCAAGTCTCCTTGGAAGCTGAATCTTCTAAGCTATTCAGACATGAACTTGTTGTTCCTGAAGAACACATTTGCATTTACAGATACACAAAGCTGAATGGTATTGGAAACTGTGTTCAGAAAATGCTATGTGGACCTGGCAGTAGTTACCTATTCAGTATTCTGTGAACTCCCTGGGAAGTGGTAGGTGTTTCCCATAGTCAGAGAAGTGACTCATCTCAGCTGTGCTAACCAGAGGGTTGTAATTTAGATGTGTATCATTCCACATGCTAGGATCTCTTCCAAGGCAGCAGATTGTGATGCAGGGTTACTCCATCTGTGTTTCAGGGATGACTGGATAGATTGATTCACAGGGTAACCACCATGACTGTGTCTCCTCTAAATCACAGCATGTCCAAGCCAGATTGTACTGAGCACAGCCCTCCCTGAGCCTGGGTGCATAACACCTGCTCTGTAAATCTGAACATATCTTCTCCAGGGGATACAGCCACCATCACAAGGCCATAGCTTCAGCTGGGGCTTGGAATCACATCCATTTAGAAGGAGTGGGAGGGTCACATGAAGTGGAATAAAAGTCAACTTCCCTATTAAGGATTCCTCTGAAACTATAGGTACAAGCTAACACCATTTATTTTTTCACAGTTCAGTTTTACTATGCTCAGCTGAATCCTTTGCTTTGTCACCAGCCTAATATTTGGAGGCATCACCATTGGGACAGGAATCGTGGGTATTATTGCTGGGGCAGAAGCTGCAAGACGTTTAAGAAAGATAAACAACAAAGCTGATCCTCTGATCTGTGCCTCAAGCATGTTCATTTCTGCCCTGTGCCTCTACATAGCTCTGATGGTGGCCCAGACAAATATCCTTTCCACTTTTGTAAGTGACAATTTGCAGAATGTCTTTTGGCATCCTAGGGAGAATGAGAAGGGGGAGGAGGAGGTGAGGGGTGGCTTTTTTGCAGAATTCTCTTCAGTCTTCTAGACCATTAAGAGGTTTCAGTGACTTGTGACAAGGTGTCCAGGTAAGCTGTGGGCTCTGATGCTCCCATAGCTGAGGTGTGTCCTGTGAGAGCCACACTGGGCAGACAGAGCCCTAAAACTGGGCCTGAGGTCCTGAGAGTGCCCACACTGAAGGGAATAGTAACTATGCATTTAGCTGTGTTGGAACATGTGCCTTATGCAAAAATGTAGTTAAAGCAAGTCTCAATCTTATGTTAATTTTTAATGCTCTGTGCCTAATTTAGTATTCTTATTTATTTTTGCTCTCTGAATACTTAAAGGTTGGTGTAGTTGGGACTGTACAATACACACTGTTCTTGCTAAGAATAATTTAGCCTTCACCTTCAAAGCCCCAGATCACTAGCTGATCTTCAAAGTCAAGCTTTTGGCAATACAAACTGAAGTATAAATCACTTAAATTCCATTCTCAGTAAAAGGGAAAACAGAAACTTACTAGGAATGACAAAAAAAATCCCTGTAAGAGGGAACTGAATGTAAACCCTATTTCAACTATAATCTGGTAACAGCTGGGGAAAGACTCCTGTGCATTTTTTCTGTGACTCCACAGCCAAAATCACCATGATTAGCATGTAAAGTAAAGTAAAGTAAATTACAGTAATCAAGAGTTCTCTGCAAAAGGGCACTTTTGCATGTTTTTTTGGTTTTTTTTTTTTTTTTGCTTCTAAGAATAATGCTTGTTCAAAGAGGTTTTCCTTCTGACTCCTCAGAAATGTGTATTCCTGTGGAAAAACACCTTTACCAAGAGAAAACACAAGTGGATTGGCCTGTCTGAGTGTGTGCACACAAAGCAAAATGTGAAATGTGAAGATTATTTTTGGGTCCAGGAATGGGGATCTAAGTGCCCAGAAGAATTAGCCATTGTCTTTTTCTCCTTCTCAGAGTCCCACATAGCTCCACTCATAGTTGTTCCTCAGGGGATTTTTTGTCATTAAAGGTAGAGAACAGCAGTTTAATTTGCCAGTCTGTGTTAGATGAGTGGATCAATATATTTGGTTGGAGCTACCAAAACATACCTTTCATTAGAATCATAGAATTAGGGTTTGGAAAGGACCTAAAAGCTCATCCAGTTCCACTCCCCTGACATGGGCAGGGTCACCTTCCACTAGACCAGGTTGCTCCAAGCCCTGTCTAACCTTGCCTTGAACAATTGCAGGGATGGGGCAACCACAGCTACTCTGGGCACCCTGTGCCAGGACCTCACCACCCTCAGAAGGAAGAATTTCTTCCTTATATCTAATCTAAAGCATTGTGAAGGAAAAGATGTCTGGATAATGGTCTGTTACTGAGTATATCAGTGCTTCAAGGAACCTTTTCCCCCAACCTGGCTTGGAGAAGTAAACAAATGAACAGAACAGACAAGAACCAAAGGATGTATGGATATCTTAGGTCTATTATCTGTATCTATTACTTACAGGGTATCTGTAGATATCTTTAGTATACCAGGTCTACTTCTCCATAGGAGAATGTAAGCAACCCCTCCAAAAACATCTGAGTTTGTCACTGTACCATTCCTAGGCTGTGTTTTCATCATCCAGGGACAACATCTTGAGCAAGACCTTACCAAACACAGTGCTGGCACCTCTTGTAACAATGTGCCATCAGTCTGATTAGTAGATAAGAATATTGTGCCGGGTGCCACGTGTCTTTGTGGCCTGTGTTTCTGAAAAGATTCTGCTTTCTAGCACTGCTCCACCTCAGTGATGTAACTTCAATGCTTTCCTCGCGTCTTGCTTAGTCTGTGCAGGGCTGGCTGAAAGGATTAATATTTTCTGAGGCCTCAGCTATAAGAAGTCTTTGAGTGCCCTACCCCTTTTCCTCATGGCTGGGTCTCCATCTGTGATGGATTAGGGATTTCCCACAGGACACCAGGAGATGAGACTGCCTGTCCTTGGAGTCCATTCCATTTTGGGAGTTCTTCCTCTGAAGGAGCCCTTAAGAGTACTTGGCTTCATTTGCATCCCTGTGCATTTTATAAACCTGTGCTGAATGCTTCTCTTCCATGCATCTTGTTTTTCTCTCCTTGAGTTCAGTAGCTCATAGCAGTTAATTTGGGAGAGTGGTATATGTTTCCTATTTTGGCTCTTCTACTGAGGATTTGTGATGCAAACACCTTCTCTGCTTTTTTCCCCTACCTTTAAGATGAAGTTAGTGTTTGTAAGCATAGACAGAGGTGTTTAATTTAGAAGTAATTGGTATGTAGGACAAAGATAAGCACAGTCAGCGAGCCTGCCTCATCTTCACAATATAGAAGGGCAATGCAGGGTATAGCAAAGTATAGTATAGTATAGTATAGTATAGTATAGTATAGTATAGTATAGTATGGTATGGTATAGTCACTGCTTTTTTTCTGTTTTGCAGATTTTTATTGCATTTGGAGAACTGTTTTTGTCTGTAAACTGGGCTGTTGTGACAGACATACTGCTGGTAAGTGCTCATAATACTATTTCCTTATTTCAAGGTTTTGACAATGTAATATTGTTCCTAAGCCTGCATCTTAGTGGCTTTCTGGGGACAGATGAACAAACTCCTACAGAGAATCCCCTTGTTGGCATTTTGCTTGGAATCATTGCCACAATGTACTGCTGGGCAAGGATGCCAGTGGTAATAAGGGTGTGGTGGGGCAGTAGTCCAAGTTATTACAATCCCAGGAAGATGTCCTGATTTGGATGGAACTCATGCACGTGGTACTCTCTAGTGCTGCCTGTACCCATAGTATTTTGGGCTTCTGTACAGCTCTGTGTTGTCAGATATCTGCTAGAAAATGGCCTGCACCAGAAACAAGGTCATTTTGTGTCTATAATCAGGTTTTCTGTTTGTTTTCCAGAGGTTTGAAAGTATGATCCCAATGAAGCAAAGTTGATAGTCTATGAATATTAGCAAGTTCCCTTAGTTCAGAATACAGTGCAGATGAATTCCAGCTCTTGTAAGCCCAATTCATAAGTGGTGCTACACTGATAGAGCATCAGGCCAGCAGTGATGCTTAAGGGGCTCTTGGGAATTCCAGGACTGTCACCACAAGCCAGGGAATAGCAGTGCGTGTTTATTTTGATTCTATCATCAGTAATTTCTTTAGAAAGGAGTGATGTGAAAAGCACACATCTTGTAGCACAGTTTGTCTATACTGTGATGAGCAGCTTTTTTGTATAAAGGTTTTTAGAGTTAGTAATTTTACTTAAGTTTTTACTCTAAATAAAAATTTGGCAACCTTTCATTTAGGTTGTAGCTCCACAGTCACTAATAGATGTCTGTGTAAACCCTGGGGAGGATACTATGATTGCTGAACTACACAGATGATTATAGTCTTATCAAGTAGTTTATATTACATTTTTTTTTAATAATCCATAATATGAACAAGTTGAACATGGTTTATCAGTGCAATTAGCAAAGAAATGCTCATATCTGATAGACTGCAAGAAGCTGATTTAAATACCAAAGTTATTTATATGATTGGCAATTCTTTTGTTGTTACCCATGGGCATAAGACAAAATATTTAAATTGACACTACCCTTTTCTCTGAGGAGTAGAGTACTAGATCACCCAAGGGACCCAAACTCAACTTTGGGATCCCTGTGCTGAGAAACTGTGGATGTGATGGTAGCCCTAATATTTCAAGCAGGAAGCTCCCTGTGAGACAGGGACTGTTCAGACAAGTGTGGTACAGGCACAATGCTGCTGCAGGTGGCACTGAAAGTGGGGAAATGGTGTAAAGCCATCAGGACAAGTAAGAGAAGGTACAAAGTTAAGGGACAACAGAACAGAGATCTTTGGTTCTTCCCAAGCAAAAGTCACATGAGTGTTTCCCATTTTATGTAATAATGTTTCATTCTAAGGGAGCTGAAATCTATTTGCAGATTGCTGCTGTGAACTTCATGATCATAATAAATCCTTCATTTAAGGACCACAGTGAGTGCATTCATGTGTAGCACAACATGCAGTGATGCACAATAGCAGTTCACAAGAAGGACAGGAAAAAACCTTGCAGCCTGTGGTTCCAGTGGAGCACAGGTCACTGGCCCTTGCTATCACAGGAACTGGCAGCTTACCCCTGAGGTCACTGGCACTGTGGCCTAAGTTGCTCAGACATACAAATTTCTTGGTATCTCCACTGGCTAACTAAACCCAAGTAGTGGGCAAGCTGAGCAGAGATGAAAGTATCCCTATTATAGTGTAAAAGGATGAGAAAGTGCTCAAATGCTGAGCACTCTAGTGACCAAACTGACCAGCTGTGAAACACTGCAGAACTCTCCTTCCACTGCCTGACCTTGCCTTGATGTGGGTCTGTTTGTCTTTGTATTTCATAGCTGAAGAATCTCTCTTTACATTCTGATTAAGATGAAGGAATGGAACTACTTACATTTCATGGGTCTTCAGCAAAGTCCTGCTGACACTGACTGTGCATTATGTTCTCTTTCACGGTGCTGCTCTCTACATGTCAGTTTTCTGCACTCTGGAATTTTAATAAAATAGTAAATAATGCAGTCAGCATTAGTCAATTGGCTGCTTGCTTAAAATCTTAGCCAGCAGCCAGGAGGGTTTTGATTCTTACTTGACTCTCACAAAATGGTCAGAAAGAATTATCCTATGAGATAATTGCAGCGGTGAACAGGTGCAGAAAAATTATCACTGGTCCAGACTGACAGTTTTACTTATCTTCTATTTCAGTTTATTTTGAAATAATTGGGGGTTTTTAGCAACAGAAGCAAGTATAAATACCATTGCCATTCTTTTTACATTAGTTGAGGCACCAACTTTTTAAAGTCTTTCAGTTTACTTTTCCTTGAACTCCTACATCTGCATTTTAATTCTGTCCTCTGTCCCTGTTAAAGAGGAAGGTGACATCACTGAGTTAGGTAATGGTGATACATGGTGATACATGGTGAGGAGAGTGAGGCAGATGGTTGCTATCAGCTCTTTCTTTCAATTCCTTCCTGAATCCAAGCAGAGCTTTTGTTCAGTTCCATCACTCCAATCTCAGCTTTCTGAGGGAATGCTGCATCACATTGCAGCCTGCAGGAAATCTGTGGGGAGCATCATTGCCTTACCCTGGATCCATCTAAATCTAGAAGAGAAGAAGTTCTTGTCTCCCAGGTGACCAACATCCCTAACTTCCATTTATTTTAGAATATTGTGGGGTTAGTTAGCAGCAATATTGTATCAATTGGCAACGAGTGGGGAGGCAAAAAATTTGGCATAGCAGAGCTCTGTGGTGCTGTGTTCCCTGGGAGCAGACATTGAGTTCATTACCACAAATGTGCTTTGGGTTGGATCTCTTGAATTCTAAATGCTAATAATTGTTTTATCAGAAAAATGATGGAATTGAGCTGAATTTGTTGATGTCTGCTCATTCAGTGACAATCTTACTTGGGACTTATGTTTCATCCTGTTGAAACCCCATGAGTTCAGTGTATTACTGCTGTTATATTGACTGAAGGGTGCCATAGATAACAGCAGTAATTTCTCTTTCTGCCTCATTTCCTATGTGAACTGGTAGGATTTCTGATAATGTAGCTGGATTTGCTAATGCATGTTCTTATTTTGCTATGAAAATTACTTTTCTTTCTTCCTACATGGCACTACTAGCCAGACAATGTAGCTAGAAATTCATTTCTCCTGCAACCTGTGGAGCTGAAGACAAGGAAGATGCTGACTGAATGATAAAGATTTCCTCCCTTTGTGGCTGGTGCATCAAGAGGTATTGCATGTAGCCACCTTTGTGCCTCCTATTCAGTGTAAACACAAAGGTATCTGCTGTACCACTACAGTCCTAATGTGCAAGTGGAGAAGTGCCTTAGCTGCCTTACCCGGAGGCTGTATTTGGAGTATTCCTTATGAAACATATTTGCCATCTGTGAGGTTATGGAACTCTGTCTTTTAGGGTTTTGGCAGCTAATAGTGTAGGAGATGCTGGAACTGGAGGGGTTTGGGAAGGCTACCAATGTGTCCCTGTCTTTGGAAGTGCCCTGGGAGGTACAGAAGTGTTCATCAGCCTGTGTGTTCCATCTGCTTTTTTAGCTGACAGCTCTGTGGCAGAATCTGCAGGGAGGTCTCTGAAACCTCCAGAGGCAGCAGGAGGGATCTGCAAACTGTACCTGTTTGGGGCACCTGCTTCAGTCCAGGCACCTGGGCTGGATCTCCTCAGAGGAGGAGTGTGCAGGATGTCACCTCCACTCCTGCCATGGTGTGGGCTCCTGGGCAGTCACCATGGCCAGGCAGAACCCCTTGGCTTCTTCAGAGTCCCTATGGGACTCTGTTTTGTTTCTTCTTTTCCTAGTGAGTCCCACAGTGCTTTGAGCTCTTGAGTATAGTTTCTATTGTGCAGAAGAACCTGAGCAATAGCACAGGCAGAGTTTGTATGAGCTCTGAAACTATAGGAAACACCCAATCCTTCTCTTGTATTTTTCTTGTTCCAGTTTTGTTCCATCTCTTGTTGTTGCAGATAGGGGATATTAAATACAGGTGGTAAGGAAGTGGTGCAAGCACTGGAAGAGCCAAAGTACATTTAGCTTTTCTCATGCTTTCAATGCCCATGATATATTAAGTGCATAACAATATTTGATTTGCATTTCTCAAACATAGCCTGTCATTATCCGTAAAAGAAATTTGAGTCTAGGACAGATGACATGAAAACCTCAGAGAGCCAAGAGCTGCCAGTCTCCAGTCTAGTACAGTCTGTCATAGCCAGGTCTGCTTCCCAAGCTCAGACTTTCCTGTTGTATTTTTTGTCTCTGTACAAGAGAGCTTGTTCACACAGTGTGCATGCTCATTGTCCAGATAGGTTCTGAGAGAAAAAAAGAGTGGGTAGGCTGCACACCCTCAGTCTAGGCCATAGTGTGCTTTGGCCTCGGTGAGAAGGAGCTGTTGGATTGTTCCTTCATCCCACGGGTGACAAGGATTTCAGAACAGCCAATGTCACATAACTCTGCTCTTACACTGTCTGGGGACTGGATGCAGTGTCGTGGCAACATGACATCACAGTGGTTTTCTGTAACTCTGGAGAGATCTCCAAAGCATCCATGGTTTAATATTTACTATTGTTGAAGCACTCTACCTAAATATTCTTAATGAAAAAGAAATCTTCTATCTATGCTTAGAATACCTGTTTTGGAGGGACTAAGAATGGAGCAGGTTATGCATGTGCAAAGGAAGGAAGGGGGTTGTCTGTTCTAATCCAGCTGCTCAAAGCTTTCTTGCTGGGTGCAGAAATGCTGGTTTAAGAGTGATTTGTATATCCAAGGTTGAGGCCAAGTGCCTGAAAGGGGCACTGCCAGTGTTCTCTGGTTCTTTACTGAAACTGGTTGCAGTATGTGGTAAGCAGGACCAAAACTCTAAATTACATATGAGAACAGGGTCTTTTTTTAGTTTTAAATCCAACTAATCATGCATGTAAATGCTTCCTTGAAGGCAGTGATAGAGCCACAGTATAGATTACACACCTTGAGTCTGTCCCTTGGTAAGACACCAATCATTCTATTAATTAGTGTGTGAGACATACTTAAGGACATTTAGGTGGGTTTCAAAAAAAACCCCCAAATTGTGGAATAGGAGTGAGAAAATATTAAGCATTTTGTTTCTGATATGACCAAGTGGTTGGAAAACAGAGGTATAAAAGTTTGAAATTGCTTCTGAAGCATTATGCTTTTTGCATAAATGTGTTATTTAAATGCTTCTTCGGGCAGAGTTGATCTTCAGTAGCACAGGCATAGAGCTCTTATTACCCTGAAATTACTATATTCCATTTGACAAAATAGTTCTCATCTACGTGATGCTTTGCCATGTTCTGGATATGCACCACATCTTCCTCTCCAACTTGTTATTTAAACTGTGTGCACTGAAAAACAAAATCAGTATGAGATACTGTTGTTACTACAGTGCCTTGTGTCTCAGGTGCTTCCCAGTTATAGGCAATATCACCAAAACATCACCAGCCACTTTCTGGTCTGGCAGGTTGGGTCCTCACCTTCAGTCTTGAAGGGGTCTGCAAGGCCTCAGCTGATGTGTTTTACAGCTCCTCCAGGTTCCAGGTACCCCACTTTCCCTCAGCAGTCTAGACCAGACCTGCTGACACAGATCATAAGATATTTTTCTGAGAGGCTGTCAGTGCTGAATACTTGTTAGCAAATCATTGTGACTGCAAGGGATACTGGCTGGAGGTTTCTACTGATTGCATGGCCAAATGGATCTGTGCAAGTTGCTCTGAGCTGTGTATGGACACATGGGAGTCATGATTTAGCTACTTTACTGTTATTTTCTCCTGTGTCTTCCTTTCTTGAATGTTTTTTTTCCCCAGCAAAAAACTCAGTGTACTCTTTTTCTCAGAATAACTTTTCTGTCTCCAAAGCTGTAAACAGTATTTAACTATGAAATTTTTCTTACAAAGTTGTAAACAATGTTTGAATATGAAATGCCTCAAAGTTGCTCTGTTGATGTCTCTGGATATTCTGGAAGCAGCTGGGCACTCCTGAAGTTCTGTGTGTTGATGTTCCCTCTCCTGTGGGCTGTGCTTTGTTTCAGTACGTGGTGACGCCGAGGCGACAGTCCACAGCCATCGCCCTGCAGATTTTGGTGAGCCATTTGCTGGGAGATGCAGGGAGCCCATACCTCGTTGGGGTTGTAAGTGAATTCTTTCCTTATTGAATTTACCTTATGGTAAAACTTCTAGAAACTGATAGGCAGACACTCTCAGAATCATAGGCACTATTTGTTCCAAAACCAGAAATTACTCAAATTGCTGGCCCTGAGTCTAGGACACAGAGACATTTTTCTAAACATTTTTACTTGCATGAAGCACTTGGTCCTGTGACACTGTTTGTAGGTGTGAGCAGTTCTGTGCAGAGTGTAGAAATTTACAGACTCCTATATTTTTAGAGGCATACATGTTTTGCAGAGACAGTGTCATTGGATGTAAGCACTTTCTGCTAAGTTTGTGAGGAGTTTCATGGAAATTAATTCAATGTGTTAAAAGCCAAGACTTAGTTCAAATCTTGAAGTTTGAAATCTTGCAATTAGTCAATGGTGTCTTGAAAATCAAAATAAAAGTGGTGCAATGGTTGTCTTTAGATACTACTTGACCTTTAAATCTCTGGTCTCAAATCACCTTAACCCTGAATTCCCACATTCCTTGAAAACTGATTTCTCTGCTCTTCCTACATTTACTTGATCTTAGGTGCTTCTTTGCAAATCAGCCTTATACTGCTTTCTCTGTCCAGTTCATTAATTTTAGTTCCAGTGGACTATATCTGTCAATCTCACTTCCTCCCTTCATTTATTTTAAAACACAGTAGCTAACAAAGCACCCATTTTGAGTTTTCTGCTTTACTTGACACAGGAGATTGAGTCTTTGATGGTGATTTAAAGTGTAGTTTTTATGAAACTTTATTTAAAGAAGTTCATCCCCTGTTAACAGTGTCAGAGTTAGACAGGGCCAGCAATCCCCAAGTGAGCTACACCTGTGCAGCTGCTGCTGGCCCAGCCACACAGGAGGTTCCCCTTGTCCTCAGCTGGGTGAAACCCAGGGTCTCAGCTGTATAATCTGTCTGGCAGAGAAGAGAGCCTCTCTCCCTGAGGGATTACCCCTGCTGACTTCCTTTTTTTTGGCAAATGAAGAAACCATTTTGCTCCTTGGTGTTAGGAAACTCCTGATCTCACATATATCTGACTGTATGTGTGGGAGCACAACAACCAACATCCCTGTGGAAAACAGCTCAGAAGGGATGCAAAAATGGGAGATACCCCAAAAGCTGAAATAAATCTTGTTCATTCTCCCTGTGACCAATCTATTGATTTAAGCTTTCCACCTGAAAGATCAAACTGTTTGTGCCTCCTGCCCTCTGTCCTTTGCCCTCTTTGGGACACAGGCAGAACTGAGGCTTTGTGCTGCATCCTGCCTGCAGAAGTCACTTTAAAGAGCAGCTCTTGAGAGAGTGAAGACAAAAAAAGCTTATCCAGATGAAATTAATCTCAGGTAACCTTGTAACTTCACTCAGAACAGAGGCAATAAAGCCAGGAATAAAACTACTGTGTGTCCAAGTGGGTTCCTGTGTACTGGGCACCCACATTGTCCTCTGTAATGTTCTGTGATCCCATACACCAACATTTCCATGACTGCTGTTAGTTAAACACCAAATCTTCTGCTTTCATATCTTGATAGTGTTTCCTAACCTACTTCAGCCAAACCTTTAGCTTAAAATCTGGCTGAAGAATCAGGGAATTTCTCTTTTTCTTCCCTCTGCACTACAGAGATTTTTCCACTAAGCATTTTAAAATTAAATGCATTAGGTTTGTATCATGGCCATTATGCTTGCTGTAGTCCCTAGGTACCCATTTAGAGTTGATCTTCCTCTTATCTTCCTAAACTGTCATAAATAGTCATAGAAACCCAGCAAATGTTGAAGAGTCTCATATTTATGCATTCCAAGTCACACAGTGTATTCTAACATTCAAGAACAAATGTGGGAATAAAAATGACTGCTTTCACCATTTATCTTTTTGTTTATGCTAAGAAGAGATTTCAAGTTCCTGGGTTAAGTGTTGAATCTTACAGAGTTTCTGAAAATCAGATTTTCCTTCTGTCTACAAAAGTAAAATTCATATGTATCATTTATAGCCTTTACAACCTCATTCTCCCACCAGTGCAAAAAGCACCTGCCTGGTATCCTCCCACTTACTCACAATGTCACTCTGTAACTCCTCAAACGCCTTTTGGCTCAAAAGCAGGCCCCAGTCTTGTCTTAAATTAATTTCCATCTATTCCCTGTCTTCTGAGTGTTGTTGCTTGTGCCTGTACTGCTGCTTGACTCCCTGTTTCTATACCCTGGATGTCAATAAGGGAAGCAGAAAGTTACTGAATAGAATCAAGAAATGCCAAAGGTCGCTGCCAAATGCCCATCCTGTGCTGGCAGTCAGGAGATGGGCTAGGAAATGGTAAAATGTGTTTCCTGCCCTTGTGACTGCCACTGAAGGTGTAAAACAACATGAGATTTATTGACCCTTTGGAAGCTGGAGAGCAGTGCAGTACAGCTGTGCTGGGTACCAGGTTTGGCAAACTTCGGGAGCAGTCTCTCATCCCTGTCTGCCTCTTTTATTCTTTGCAAGGCCCACACTGCAAAGAGTCTGTTTAAAGAGGATGGAGGTGTTATTGTGGATTAATGGCAGCCTTGTTCCCTCCCCAGATCTCCAATGCTGTCCAGGCCAGGAACAGCCCATCGCTGCAGTGGAGTTTCCGGAGCATGCAGTACAGCTTTGTCACCTGTGCTTTTGTTGGGGTCTTTGGAGGAGGCTTTTTCCTCCTCACATCTTTCTACGTCGAGGAAGATCGGAAAGAAGCACAGAGGCTCTGAGGTGTCTGGGTGTCTTTATAACTTTGAAACTCAGATGTGGTGACCTGTTGGACACCAGCCATGGTATTGTCACTGTAACATGAAACCATGTTAAAGTCTGCCTTATGGTAATGCCACGTCAGTCTCTATAAAAACAGAGAAGGGCAAAATCCCAGTGAAGTCTCAGGTTAAACAAACCTTCCACATTGAGCAAAACAGACCACAGAGCTCACAAGCAAAATCGCTGTTAATGCAAAATGCTGCAGTACATAGAAATAGCATCCTTTACTGTAATGCACCCCTGCAGACTTCATGGAACATGAGGTTCTTTCTCTACTCTGATCTTTCTCAGCCCTGTAGAACCAGTCCTGTTTCTCTGTAGCACTTCTCTCTCTTCCCTAAAAGAAATCATATTCAAAGTATAAAACATTTAGAAAAAACCTTGAATTGGACAGATCCCTGTCCTCAAGCACCTGGATTCTTACAACCCCCTTCTGCTCGGACTTGGTTTTCCAGGTACCAGCAATGAACTGTCCCTCAAAGGAAGATGAACTCTGGGGAGAGATTTGCACAGAAGAAAAAAATGTCCTCCCTTTTTTCTTTCCTTTTTTGCTTAATGAGATACAGCTGGGGAAAAGGCCAAATCACAATTCCTCCATATGGCACAAAATCCTGCATACTGAATTTTTGGATGCTTTTGACTGTGAATCAAAGATTGCTCATGCATTGGCATATGGCAACTCTCCTCCCCCATCCATACCAGGCCCTTGTCCTCTGTGGGCTGGGGAGCTCCAGAGGTGTTTTACAGAGCTGTCACCAGCATGACTGCTGACCTCAGCAGGGAAGGAGCTTTTGAGGCACAACATCTCCTGGAGATTAGGGAGGCCTGTGAGTTTTCAGCGGGATGAGATTTGCCTGTAGAATTTGGGAAATGTAAGTAGTAAAAAGAGTGTTTTAACTTGTTTAAAAGGACAAAGAGAAGCAAAAACAATCAAAGTCATGTCAGATTCAAGACTGGAGGGTTGTGATAATTTTATATATAACATCTTAATGGCATGCCTCTTCCTGATAGTTGGAGGCTCCTCACTGTACCCTCAGGCCTTGGGTAAGAATCTCCTCTCATGAGTGAGCTGTAGTACCTGTAAAACCACTTAACTATAACTGTCCATTTGAACTCTTATCTCCAAAGTGAAGGAGATTTAGGATGTGCAATCTGCTGTCACAATATCATGCCAGGTACCAAACAAGACATGACCAGTGTGGCCAGCTTCCATTGTTTGTCCTGGCTTAACTCCCAGTAGCACCTTAAAGCCTAAGCCTGAGGAAGATATTGGCAAGTGAATTGTAAAATGTTGTGAATCTTGCATGGTTCTCCCAGTAAATCATAAGGATCATAAAGCACAATATTCCTGTAATGACTGAAAGTCTAATGTCATTGCAAATAGCATAATTCAGCTACTGCAGGTTTTTATTCTTGCCTCTGTCTACCTAATGTTTAAAAAATCTGTTCTGAAATCTGACTTAAACCTAGGGAGTGAAATGTGACCATTGTGGGAAATAATTGAGAAATTTTGGGATACTCAGTGAGAGTGTAATAATTGTCTTTAAAATAAAAGTTTGTATTCTGAAAGATTGAGCAACTTTTTCTGGTTGTAAAAACTCGCTATGGCTATTATACCACTGACCTTTTGGAAACCCCTGTGCTGCCAGAGAGCTCATATGCAAGAAGGGATTTTGCTATTGGATATGAGTGCTTGCAAAGGTCCTAAGTGCTTCAGCCATGGCAGGATTTCAGCAGCTCCATTTGCTTCTCTATCAGTACATTCAGGATTTGTCCTACAAACAGTTGAGCAATTTATCACTTTTGTTATGTCAGCATTAAGTTCCTCTTTAAAAAATTCATCAGGAGCTGCATCTGGCATGCTGTGCAGGCACGTATTTGACATATGAGCAAGAAATGCCAAATGCTGATCTGTAATGGTACGAGCAGCCCATGGCAAACTCCTCCCTCCCCCTACTCCCATCTCCTCTGTGAAAGTCAGTGCCTAGAAATGAGCAGGATCACACTGACTAGTCATCCCATCTTTTTGAATGCCTCTCTCTTTTAATTTCAATTTATGGGCAAAGGATGTGTATTTTTTAGGGGTTTTTTTTTGTTTGTTTTTTTTTTTTTCTGCATTTAGCTGGACTAACAACTGGATAATCTGAGCTGTGCTTGGGCCTCCCTGGAGCTGCCCTGTCCTGTCTCACTGAGAGCTGCTGGCAGAGGCCATGGAGAGATGCAGCACCTGCATGGAACAGCCCAGGGAGCCTCTGCCTCCATGGCAGGGAAGCTGTTTCCATCAGCTGCTTGGTCCTGTCTATTAAAGATGGAACTTCCTCACTAAGATTTGTATGAGGAGTAGAATTTCTTAACATTTTCTACATATCTTGATTTTGCTTCTTAGTGGGTGTCACCAAATTCTGCATGGAGGGGTTCCCTTAGTGCTGGAGGGAGCTGTACTATTTCAGACATTACAGTCTTTTCTTGCCACCAGCAACCTGTGTTAGGGAAAGTCACTGAGTTCTGGCACATGGCCAGTGGAGGAACAGATTTTCAGGCCTTAACTGAAATGCCAGTTGTTTTCTAGAGTTCTAATTAAGTACAAGTAAGAGAAAAAAGGAAGGCTTTAAATAGTTACTAAATCTGTCTACATTGGAAAGAGCTGCTGCTGGTTATTGAGATTGTTTTGCAACATTCCTGCTGCAGGAAATCTGTCCCTAGCAGCAACTGAATGATAATCAAACAAGTTGTTAAAATATATATTTTCTGTAATTGTTTGTATATTCTCCTCCTACCCTTAATATTTGTTCTTTGCTTTTTCTGGTCAAGATAGTGAGTAAGAGACACTTTGAAAGAGCTCCAAAAGGTGGGATTTTATAAGTCCATTCAGGTAATCTTTGTGATCTTTTCCTCCCCTTCCCTCATTCCCAAAGCAGGGACAGGTGACCTTTATTGCTTGTGTGGATATTTTTTTAACAAGTTTTAGAGCTCTGCTTTGCATAAAAATTGCCTTCAGAGCTGTGATTATTTCTAAGTTCTGCCAAATGCCTCTAAAGGTGTCCAGTGGACAGGACATGTGCAAGTCACAATACCAGGTTGTGAAACCACTTTTCCAGGGGGTTCATTTTTTCCACTGGTGATGTGGTGTGACATTGCTGTCAGCAGAATTTTAATTGCCAAAGATGTTTCATGTAACTTTTTCTCTCCTTCCCACACCAGTAGCCCTGTGCTCTGCTCTGAAAAGGGATTTCACAGCACCTCAGGAGCTCCCTGTGCCACAGCTGAAGGTGCAGATGGCAGAGCTTGGCCTCCCAGGCAACAGATTTGGAGATCCTTTCTGGGCTGCTCTCTCCTAAGAACATCTTGTGGTTTATTCCTCTTTGCCCTCATTACTTCTGCAGCTGAAATGTCTTGTGCAAACTGTTTTGCAGAACAGCTGTGAACTTTATAACGCTGCTGATGTAGCCATGGGTGTCAAAAGTGGGGAACAAAGCTCAGGGGATGGTTCTGAAGGGCCTGTGCTGAGCCTGGGTCAGTTATGACCACTCAGAGTTGTACCAATCCTCATGGCTGTTTTTTTACAAACTCACTCCTAACTTCCACTGAAAAATTCAGCAGCTGCACAGGTGCTCTGGGTCAGTACTCCAGCAGTGAAAATATTTCAGAATAGATGGCTGAATTCTGTTTTTTTCCTCTCCCCTGCACTTGTCTCCCCTTGCAGCCCTGCACTGCCCAGTGACTGGAGCTCACCTGGTGCCTTTACCATTAGGTACATGTGTCCTCTTGGCTCAGAATCTGTAGAATTTCTGTATGGAAAGTAAGCTAAAGGAGATAGACACTCTGCACCTGAACACAGCATTATATGGCCCAATCAGCCATATTTATGCTGTAGCTGATTTTAGTTTTTCTTAGCAGTAGATCCATCACCTCTGCTTTTTCTTTCCTTTCCCCACAATATAATGCATGTTCAGTGTCTGTTGAAATAAATTATGAAATAACTAAAAAAGCTAAAAGTCCTCCATTATCCCCAAACTTTCATGGCAAAAGTTTTCTTGAGATCTCCTTCTGCTGCTTTGCAAACACTGTTCATTCTTCAGGCCTCCTTTGAGCACTGGGTTCTCCCATTCTGCCTGTGAGGGTGCCTGGGACTGGGGAGCAGCCACCTCATCCCTTGGAATAGGCAAAAACCCATGAAAGAACAATGTCTGTGGGACCCTGCCAAGTCAGGCTGGCATTCAAGCAGCTGGGACTGGCTGTATTCCATTACAAGAGAGCCACTGGATTCATCTCAGTGCTATAATTACCCTCATTGTAATCCAATAAAGCTTTGGGAAGGTTCTTAGAAAGCTTTTGGCTTATAAGGGAACAAAGGTTAACATGAGGAGGGTCTTGATCCTGATCCTGTGTAGCTGATCAAAACTGTGTGGGTCTCACTTTGTGTAACTTCGTGTTTCCCAACCATTTTGTTATTAGTATGTAAATAGAATCAAATTACTATAATTGGAGAGATTAATGTACATGCTGTCAAATCCCATTGCAGGAAAGTGCCCTGTTGGAAGTGCCCAGGTTTGGAATGTGTCTGTATCCCAGCAGGCCTGACCCTGCCAAGGGAGCTGGAGCAGGCTTGGGAAACACAGCCTGTCTCCCTAAAACCAGGAGTCTGTGCAGTGAACAAACCCAGCCTGCCCAGGACTCAGCTCACACTGTGGCACCAAGGTCTGACTTTATCTGCTCATACACTCTGGTGGGGCTTTTCCTACAGTTAATATTTTTTCTTTATTATTGTGAAAAATGGTTTTAAATTTAATTCAGAGGTAAATTTATGCATTCATGTATGCAGGTATAATTTGCTTTTCAGTATCAAATATGTTGGGCAGTAGGCTTGAAACTGATGGAAAAGGATAGAGAGAATAAATTTTGAAAGTGCTGATTTCAAGCTACCTGTTTAATTCTACCAGCATGTACCCTAGGAAGGGACCTGACTTTTTTCTTTTTTCATTCCTGTTTTCCCAAAAGCCCTGCATCCCTCAGTTCCTAAGGAAGGTGGGTTAATGTGGCAGCACATGTCTCTCTCTCTCAGGATTTTTCATAGAGGTGTACAGAGAGAAAGAAAGAGAAATCAATTTTTCTTTTTGTTCCTTGTTTTTCCCATGTGGAATGTGTTTGGAGAATTGTTTACCTGGTGTGATTGCTTGGTTGGATTCTGGTGAGGATTGTTTGAGCCTGATGGCCAATCCAACCCACCTGGGGCTGGACTCTCGTGAACAGGGTCATGAGTTGGGAGTTAGATATGGTAGAAAAAGTAGGTTTGTAGTTTTAGTATCTCCTTTAACTAGTACATTAATGTATTATAGTGTAGTTATAATAAAGAAATCATTCAGCCTTCTGGAGTCAGACATCAGCATTTCTTCCCACTGGGTTCACCTGCATTTACATAGGTTAAGTCACT